CAATTCTCACAAAAGAGATAGCAAACAGATAAAAAGAAGAAATCTATGCACAGCAAAACGTATTATGCATCTATCTTGTGTGTGAGAATATAGATCTCTAAGTGGTTAAGTTGATGACATCATGTATGTCAAATTTCCACAAAAAAGAAAAAAATAATAATAAATAAGGCAAATTTACTTGGAAGCTAATAGAAAAAGAGAGTGTGAGACTGAACAGAAATCATCGTGGAGGTGTAACAATTTTACGAGAACTCATATCCCCAGAGCATCTGGTTACTTTTTCTATTTCTGCTCTGCCTCCAGAACTCTAGAGTCCCCACAGACACAAGCAATTCCTACAATCAGCAAATATGAATCACGTAAATATTTATAGGCATATGTAATCAAGCACATAACATGCACAAGCTTTAATATACTCGCCACGGAGTCTGCGAACATGTTTAGTTGAAACTTGGAATTATAATGATATATTAGGTCTTACGACTGAAAGTGGACTTAACTGGGGTCTAATTAGGTTTTTTTTTTTTTTTTTTCAAAATCATTTCGTCAATCGAACTGATTTTATTTTTTTATCTGTTTAGCTCACTTTTAAGCTTATGCAACTAAGTTCCAGTATGCTTCACGGTTCATAAAGTTTGTTGAGATGGAATTATATGTTATAATACTAATTCTGAATTTCCGATTGATGATGTCTACAGTAACAAAAATATTTGAAGAACTTGCCAAAGGTACTGACAGAAACCAATCACAACACATAACCTCAATGTGTCCACAGCCAAGAAATGTCAAAGGATTATCAACAGGAAAAAAGTGTTGCAGCAAAGGCCAGATACACACACCTAAAAACAAAATTGATTATAAGCATTCAGATCTTAATTCTATCATTGCACGCTTATTCAAACTCCTCTTCCCATAAGTACATCAACTCTAAAACAAATCCACCTCAACTCCACTTTCACTTTTCTAAGAGAGAAAAAAATCCAAATATTTATCATTCAATTAACGTCGTCAAACAATTTATTCTCACAGTATAAAGTAGATACATTATAAATTTAAAAATAAGAGCATTATTGTGCTAAATAGCTAATCAACACAAGATCACATACGATATTATCCTTTCAAATTGTTATTATAAGTCCAAAATTCCAACCACCCGATTAAAGTTTCAAAGTAAGGGTAAACCTTGCCATTCTCTTGGACAGAACCTTCATCCCCAGTAACTTAAAGTAATTAAATCTCCTTCCTAGGAATTTTCATAGAAATTGTAAAACGAAATGCATTAAATCAATAACCTTCTGAACAGCATAAAATCAGTAACTGACAAATGGAATCCGAATTCTCAAACTATCCAATTTTTTCTTTTCCTATTTTAACCTTTTTTTTTTTGGTTAACGTAACAATTTACTCCATGTGCTTCATATTACACAAAAGTGTACCAACTGATAACCTCTACTAAACCAAGGTAGAAAAAGAATGAATTCAGCAGAAGCCAATGTAATAATGAGTACCAAAAGCACCAATAAGATTCAAGCCGCCCACATTCAGTTTGCAACTGATGCAGCCACAAGATATGAATTATTACAACTTAGAGCTAGACTCCTGTTGCCACAATAACTCACTTGAGTGGCAGTGAAAATAGAAAATTGATCAGTTATTAGTAGGGTGAAAAAAAGTCCAATGTTACCTCAAAATAAGGAAACCTTGGTGAAAGTAGTACTCAGATGTATGGAATCCTATCGAACTGATTAATATTGAGTTACTGGGAATTTATTCAAAATTTTCAACTTTGGAAGTAATAAATGTCGCTTGAATTCTTACACATCTTCAAATTGATTTCCCTACCTGGGACAAACCTTCTTGAGGCCTATTTGCATAGTCATACCTGATTTTGCAATCATAATATTCCTGCTACTGTTACTTCTACTGTACTTTAGCTTCAGCACACCTCTTCTCTGAAATATATACAATGTAAGAGCTTATATTTTTCCCATAGGATATGAATGAAGAAAAACTAATAAAAAATTCAATTGATCAAAACAAAGTACAAACCAAGATCATATTCTTGCTTGAATGAACTCTTTGCCATTCCAAGCTCCCAACTGCATTACTCCTCAAAGCAAAAAGTTACATTCTTGAATTATTATTTTTTTTAATAGAACGAAAAAACTATCATATCATTAACATCAGTATAAAAATCCTTCTTGGCTATATATTAATTAACAAATAAAATTATCATTTATTTCCACTAAATATCTTGTAAAAATCATATCTACATATTAATAAAACACAAAAACCAACAAATTTGACAAAAAAAATAAAATAAATCTGGGCTCTATAAGTTTCATCAATGGAATAATAAATTAATTCACAGTCACATGAAAATTCCATCAACATATTAGCAAAATCGAAACCCAGAAACAATATAAAGAAAGCATCTAGATGCAAAGAAGAAGAGTTCAATAGATGGAGGGCACCATACCTGTTTAAAGGCTCGATTCATTGGAGACGAAAATAAAATTCTTCATGTGTACGTGTGTATAAGGAAACGGGATTACCTTTATTTATTGGAATTCAACCAGGCAGCCGACAAAGCAAATGAATTGGAAAGCCACGAAGGAGTTGGTTGAGATATCAGCAGTACAATCAGCAATTGAAGGAAGCTTGAACAATTGGCAGCCACCTTGCAATAACAGAATGAGAACTTTCTGTTGTGAGAATGTGCGTGTAAATTATTCCTTCTAGAATAGCCTATTGTGTGTATATATACTCTGATGCTCTGTACAGTTTAAGCAAGCAGAAATTCAATACAATTCTTTGCTTCTTTTTGCTTCAATCATTCATTTCCTCTATTTTCAATTGATTTCTAAAATGGTATCAGAGCCAGCCTTGGAGGATTCAAGTGCCGGAGATACAAATACAAATCAAAATCCAAATGATGCTCAATCTGGAAACACGTCAAATACTACAAATCTTGATCCCACTCAACCTAACAGCCCATATTTCATTGGAAGCAATGACAATACTGGAGCCCTACTTGTTACTCATACCTTGGATGCTAACAATTATCATTCATGGGCACGATCAATGAAAAGAGCATTGCGAATTAAAAATAAACTGGGATTCATTGATGGAAGCTTAAGTGAACCAGCAAATCCAAACGACCCACTCATGGAACACTGGTTCCGTTGCAACGACATAGTTATAACCTGGATGCCTAACACAATGGCAATAGACATCAAATGCAGCACCACATATGCTGAGATGGCACATCAACTATGAACTGAACTGGAGCAACGTTTTGCCCAGCAAAATGCACCTCGAATCTTCGAAATCAAACAAGCCATAACCATGTTACTACAAAACCAAGATCCTGTAAGCATTTATTTCTCCAAATTCAAGACACTTATAGATGAAATCATGAACTATGAAGCTGTGCCTAATTGTGATTGTGGGGGTTTAAGGATAGTTATTCAAAACCAACAAAGGGATCTGGTAATGAAATTTTTTATGGGCTTAAATAATTCTTATAAGGAAATTAAGGCACAAATCCTGTTGATTAAACCATTTCCCAACTTGAATGAAGTCTACTCAATAATACAGTAGGAAGAAAAAAGAAGGGAGATATCAACTGAAGGATCCTTACATGAATCTATGGCTCTTTTGGCAAGGGAAAATTTCAAAGAAAAGGGAAGACAAAATACTTATGCACATAAGAAAGACAGATATTACTGCACATTTTGTAATTGCAGGACACTCAATTGATAGATGCTTCGAGGCAAACCCAGACAAACCATTTTGTACCCACTGTCAGATTCCAGGTCATCAAATGCTTCAAACTCCGTGGCTATCCCCCAGGTCACAAACTCAGTGGAAAAGAGAAGGCATCAGTAAGCAGCTGCATTTTTATCTCCTGCACAAGAGGCTGGAAACAGCAAATCTCAAATAGATGCTTCAAGGCAAACCCAGACAAACCATTTTGTACCCACTGTCAGATTCCAGGTCATCAAATGCTTCAAACTCCGTGGCTATCCCCCAGGTCACAAACTCAGTGGAAAAGAGAAGGCATCAGTAAGCAGCTGCATTTTTATCTCCTGCACAAGAGGCTGGAAACAGCAAATCTCAAGTGTTCTTAAGTCAAGAACAAATTTCACAGCTCATGGCTCTTCTAAAACCTGTCACTAACCCTCAGAACAAAAATCCCTCAGCCAATAATGCTCAAAGTGTCATTAGCTCCACCTCCACAGATAAGAATATAAACTAACTATCTGGTATGTCTCTATGTATGTCTGTTATAAAACTAAAGTATCCTGATAAGTTAGATGTCCCTTGGATACTTGAAACAGGAGCAACAGATCATGTGGTCTACTCCACTTCATTCTACTCATCAATTCGCGCTGAGGTTGCATATTCCATAGCTCTTCCAAATGGTAATGTGGTCCCTGTGACTCATATAGTAAGTGTAAAGGTCACAGATGCTTAGATACTTCAAGATGTTCTTTGTGTACCAAGCTTTTCATTCAATCTCATTTCTGCTAAGAAACTAACACAAATGCTCAAATGTTGTCTAATTTTCTTTTCTCGTTGCTATTACGTCTAGGACCTTTCAGCTTGAAAGACGTTTGGCATGGGTGAATTAAAGGAAGGGCTATATCACATGATCACCAAAGATGTTCCCTCTTCAGCACTATTAGATTACTTGAACAAATTGCATACTCAGACCCAAATTCCTGTCTTTGCTTCAGCCACCTCTAATATTCAAGATTTTGATGTTAAGCATTACAGATTAGGACATACCTCTTACTTTATTCTTAGTGTTGATGGTGATGTTCAATTCTCAAAATCATCTAATAATAAATTTTGTTCTATATGCCCTTTGTCTAAATTGCACAAATTACCCTTTCACACAAGCACCCACAAAACTCGCAAATGTTTCGAATTATTATATTGTGACATCTGGGGTCCCTGCAGTGAGGTTGGTAGTGATGGTTCCAAGTATTTCTTAACCATTGTGGATGATTTTAGTAGATGCACGTGGGCCTATTCCTGAAGACTAAAATCAGATGCTACCAATGCCCTCCATAACTTATGTGCTATGGTTGAAACACAATTTGAAACAAAAGTTGAGATTATTAGAATGGATAATGATGGAGAGTTCACAATGAGAGAATTTTATCTCCAAAAGGGCATTATGCATCAAAGAACCTGTGTTGAGACACCCCAACAAAATGTTATCGTAGAAAGGAAGCATCAACACATCCTTAATACGGCCAGGGCCTTAAAGTTCCAAAGTCGAATCCCATTAAAGTATTGGAACCATTGCATCCTAACTGCAATGTATCTCATCAATAGAAACCCTCCATCCACATTGAGAGATAAAAGTCCTTACCAAATTTTATTCCACAAAAGGCCATCTTACAATCACCTCAAAGTCTTTGGCTGTCTAGCCTATGCCACTACCATCGTCAATGGGAGATAAATTTTATCCTAGAGCCCAAAAATGTGTGTTCATAGGCTATCATTTTGAAGTCAAAGGATATACCTTGCTGGATCTTGAGACTAAAAGAATCTTCATATCTAGGAACGTAGTTTTTTATGAAAACCTTTTTCCCTTTAAGGATGATTCTGTAAGATCAAATCATAACAACATCAGTTTTACCCAAGATCCTATAGCTTACAAAGAAACAGTCAATGCAACTTCAAACACCAGTCATAATAATGTAATGCCAGAAACAGGCTCTCAAACCATCCAACCTGAGAAAGAACTTCCACAAAAATCTAATCATGATGAGCCCCAAATTAACACTGACACGGATGCTTTCAGTCCCTCACCAAGCACAACTTCTACAACCCATTTGCCCCGCATATCAATCCGAATCAGAATAGCACCAGCACATCTTCAGGACTTCATATGCCACCAGGCTACTTCACTTCGCCCATCTCTAGCGTTGGACAAGCTAAAGGCACAGGATCTCTCCAGTTGTCAGTACCCTCTCAATGCTAGTATTTCCTATAAAAGGTTATCTGATGCACATAAAGTCATTGTTGCTCCTATCACTTCCCAGATTGAACCTAGGAACTACAAAGAAGCCAAAAATTCTCCTCAGTGGTGTGCAACCATGAAAAGTGAAATTCACTTCACCCATGGTTTGCTAACACGAAGCAATTATCTTTAACTAGATCTTTCAAAATAATTTGGAATTAAGAGAGCCAATTTTAATAAAAACAAAAAACATTCTTAAAGTCTATATTTCTTTATACATAGTAACGTACATTTGAAATGAAAATGACCTCGAAGCTTTGATGACTTGTAGGGATGTCAATTTGAGCCCCACAATTAGTGCGGGGATGAAGAGGAGTCAAAATTTGTTTAGAAACACTTTAGTCCAACTTTTTTGTGTCCACACCTATTAGCTCAATTCCCATATTATACTAAAAAAGAAGTAAAATATATATAATCGGGGTAGTAAACAATGTCATTGTCCTTTTATGTTGCCTTCCCTACCCACTTGGTTAATTTTCTGAAGATATTCGTTATTGTTCATTTTTGGGTCCTTGCCTTGTGTTTAAGTTGCCCATATTTTTGCTGACTCCTGTTTATGAAACTAGAATCAAATGCTATGTATGACAATTCAAATCCAAATTATATTCTATCCTTTGTGCACACAAATGAAATGGAGATAGTTAGATGTCACTTTCATAGAAAATTACTAAGCAGATGTCACTTTTAAACTAGCTGGTCAGCATAATCCTTTTTGTTCTTCCATATACTCTTTCTATTGCTACTACCACCTACAACCCCACCATCGGATGACCTCCGTTGTAATTCATCTAAAATGGAAATATAACACTCGTATATACTTCTTTTCTACTGCATCTTGATTTTTCTATAATGTCTCTACACATGACCCTTTCAAATTCCTTCATTTTTTCACTTTCCTTTATGGACATTACAAGAAATCTATCTACCAAACATCAGTAATGTTAGGAGTCGAGTAAAATTCTTCAGTCAATATTGAGGGGAAAAAAATACTTGCTCTGGATGCAACAAATGTGGCCGAAAAAACATGCCATATATTTATGTTCTTGATCGTAGCGGAATATTTGAAATATAGTCATCCTAATTTTCTATAGATTTTTGTAATCAAACTTGCACTCTGAACATTTACTGAATCCTTCAATTTTTTCTTTGAATGCTGAAATATTTGGAGCTATGCCTTGCAATCCAGAAAATACCATCTTTTCAGCATCTTCCCATGCCTTAGAAAGTACTCTATCAGCAGAATATCATGCGGTTTATCACTGAATATGGAAAATTCAATCCTTCTTAGGTGTTCTACCAAACATGATGGCACAGTGTCTGGTGAACGATATAGAGTTATATTCCCTACTAGAGTAGATGCCCGAGTGCCTAAGTAAGCATACTGGTTGAAGAAAAAATTAGTGTTAAAAAATTTATCATTTGCTTGCTAATCTAGAAAACAATTATAGCTCACCGAATGATGATCGGCTCTTTAAGTTGAGAAGCACTTCCAAGGATGCCCCGAACTATTCCGGAATCAGCAACCACCAACTCCTAAGTCGTCACATATTCTGACACGGAATTCAATGGATTTGGGTACGTAGCTTTCGTGAAAATAAAAGAGAGTGAGAAAAGTATACTAACATAACTAATTCTATTATTAGAATATGAGTTTTCAGCGTTAGATTTTACCAGTATAGCATCTTCTGACAAAGAGACTTCACACCGCTAAAGTTGTTGGTAAAATTGCACACTGCCTCCCGATTTTGCGCATTCTCTACAATAAGAATTTGCACTCTGGCAAGAAACTTAAATTTTTTCATCAAGCTGAACTCAAGCGACTTACCTAGATAATTAAAAATTAATAGTTTTGACGCATCAATAGAAAGTCTAGTGTCTGACATATCATCATAACCAAATTTGAAGGAAAAAAAAACTTTTTAAGGTTCTGCATAGTAATATAAAAAACTTTTGTGTCCCAGTGAACTAGATAAGGACAACTTTTATAGAGATTTACAACCTGTGAAGAACCGTCTCATTGAATCACTATCGACAGCACTTGAGGTGCTGAAGCTTAGAGGACATATTGTTTTTTATGTCCCCGAAGCTGTATCCTTACTTAATCTGAAGGTGTTCCACTATGTAGATTTAATCCTACTTGATGGTGATTCAATTAGACGGTTCTTCACATGCTGTAAATCACTGGAAGAGTTGTCCTCGTCTGGTTTATTGGGACACATAAAAGTTTTTGATGTTACCATGCAGAACCTTAAAAAGTGTTTTTTTTTTTTTCAAATCTGGTTATGATAATATGTCAGACACTAAACTTTCTATTGATGCGCTGAAACTAGAAATTTTTAATTACCTAGGTAAGTCGCTTGAGTTCAGCTTGATGAAAAAACTTAAGGTTCTTGCCAGAGTGCAGTAGAGAATGTGCAAGATCGGGAGGCAGTGTGCAATTTTATTGATAGCTTCAATGGTGTGAAGTCTCTTTGTCAGAAGATGCTATACTGTAAAATTTAACGCTGAGAACTCATATTCTAATAATAGAATTAGTTATGTTACTATACTTTTCTCATTCACTTTTATTTTCACGAAGGCTACATACCCAAGTCCATTGAATTCCATGTTAGAATATATGATGATTTTGGAGTTGGTGGTTGCTGATTCTAGAATAGTTCGGGGCATCCTTGGAAGTGCTTCCCAACTTAAAGAGTCGATCATTCATTCGGTGAGCTATAATTGTTTTCTAGATTAGCAAGCAAATGATAAATTTTTTAACACGAATTTTTTCTTCAACGGTATGCTTACTTAGGCACTCGGGCATCTACTCTAGTAGGGAATGTAGCTCTATATCGTTCACTAGACACTGTGCCATCATGTTTGGTAGAACACCTTAGGAGGATTGAATTTTCCATATTCAGTGATAAACTGCATGATATTCTGCTGATAGAGTACTTTCTAAGGCATGGGAAGATGCTGAAAAGATGGTATTTTCTGGACTGCAAGGCATAGCTCCAAATATTCCAGCATTCAAAGAAAAAATTGAAGGATTCAGTAAATGTTCAGAGTGCAAGTTTGATTACAAAAATTTATAGGAAATTAGGATGACTACATTTCAAATATTCCGCTACGATTAAGAACATAAATATATGGCATGTTTTTTCGGCCACATTTGTTGCATTCAGAGCAAGTATTTTTTTCCCCTCAATATTGACTGAAGAATTCTACGCGACTCCTAGCATTACTGATGTTTGGTAGATAGATTTCTTGTAATGTTCATAAAGGAAAGTGAAAAAATGAAGGAATTTGAAAAAGTCATGTGTAGAGACATTATAGAAAAATCAGGATGCGGTAGAAAAGAAGTATATACGAGTGTTATATTTCCATTTTAGATGAATTACAACGGAGGTCACCCGATGGTGGGGTTGCAGGTGGCAGTGGCAATAGAAAGAGTATATGGAAGAACAAAAAGGATTATGCTGACCAGCTAGTTTAAAAGTGACATCTGCTTTGTAATTTTCTATGAAAGTGACATCTAACTAGCTCCATTTCATTTGTGTGCACAAAGTATAGAATATAATTTGGATTTGACTAGTCATACATAGCATTTGATTCTGGTCTCATAAACAGGAGTCAACAAAAATATGGACAACTTAAACACAAGGTAAGGACGCACAAAAGAACAATAACGCATATCTTCAGAAAATTAACCAAGTGGGTAGGGAAGGGCCGGAAGGCAACAGGACTGGACATCTACATTGTTTAGTACCCCGATTATATATATTTTATTTAATTTTTACTTCTTTTTTAGTGTAACATGGGAATTCTTCTCAGCTTCCCCTATCTTCAAAATTTTTTCGACTGGACATGTTTAAGAAAGATAGTGATAGCAACAAGGTGGGGCGCGTTTGGCCAAAACCCGCTACTTTTTTCCCTGTTTATTGCCCCGTTTAATTTATTTATTTTTTTTTTTTTTTTTTTTTTTTTTTTTTTAAAGTTTCGAATTATGTTATTATTAGATAATAAAATACAAATTCAAAATGAGTTTTTAACGAGTGAATTGGCTAGAAATGAAATTATTTTTAATTTTTTTTTCTTCATGGAACAGGTTTAGAGTGGGGCATCCTCGCCCCGCCTTGCCCCACCCCGCCAACCCGTTCAGGGCGGGTTTATTTGCCCCATTCGGGGCGGGGCAAATTGCCATCCCTAAAGAAAGAAAAACCTGT